AAAAGCAGGGCAAGACAGCCCTGGCCGGAGCGGCAATGATGGTCGGAGACGACGAGGAGAGTGACTACGAGGAGTGTGCCTTCGCGTTCTTCTCTCCGGTGGAGATGCCGGGAGAACCAGCAACTCTCAAGGAGGCTTTGGAGAGTAGTGATGCTGAGGAGTGGAAGAAGGCCATGGAGAGTGAGCTGAAGAGCATCGAGGAGAATGACACGTTTGAATTGGTGGAGCTACCGGAGGGGCGTACGGCGATAACGTCCAAGTGGCTCTTCAAAATCAAGTCGGATGCCGACGGCAAGATCGAGCGCTACAAGTCTAGGCTTGTAGCCAAGGGGTACCAGCAGAAGGAGAAGGTGGACTTCAAGGAGCTGTTTGCCCCTGTGGTGAAGCCGACGACGCTGCGAACCCTATTCGCGGGAGCCGCCATCAAAGGATGGGTAGTAAAGCAAATGGACATCGTAACGGCATTCCTTAACGGCATCCTTGAGGAGGAGATTTTTATGGCGCAGCCAGAGGGGTTTGATGATGGTAGTGGCAGAGTGTGGAAGCTGAAGAAGGCCTTCTATAGGCTGAAGCAGGCCCCTAGGCAATGGTACATGAAGCTGCGCGAAGTGTTGGAGGGGATCGGCTTCACTCCCTCAGCGGCCGATCACTCCTTGTTCATGCTTGGCGAGGGGGAGCAGAGGAGTTTCATGGTGGTTTATGTGGATGACATCCTCATTTTCTCACCCTCTTCTGACCTTGTGAAGGAGGTGATGCTGAAGCTTCAAGACAAGTTCAAGTGCAAGGCCCTTGGTGACGTGAGCTTCTACCTTAGGCTCCACATCGAACGAGATGTGGAGAAGCGGTGCATGCGGGTGCATCAACGAAAGTACCTGGAGGCATTGGCTGCCAACTTTGGGCAGAGTGAAGGCCATGTGGCTACACCCTTTCCCTCTGGGTTCAAGTGTGTGAAGGGACCAGAGGAGGAGAGCGTTGGTGAAGAGGAGAGGCGCCGATTTTACTCGTTGGTGGGCAACCTCATGTATGCGGCGGTAAACACCCGGCCGGACGTCGCGTTTGCTACCGGGCAGCTGGCTAGGGTTGTGCAATGCCCTAATGAGGAGCAGGTAGCAGCTGGAATGAGGGTGGCCAAGTATCTTGGCCAAACACCGACCGTTGGGCTGCAATACTCGGCGGCGGCACAAAGGCGCCAAAAGGGCGCGGATGGTGTTGAACCCGGGCGTTTGTTCCTCACTGCCTACTCGGATGCTTCATATGCATCAGAACCAGAGGACATGACAAGTGTGGGAGGCTTCATATGCTGTGTTGGTGGAGGCCCAACTGCTTGGGAGAGCAAGAAGCAGGTTGACCAAGCTTTGAGCTCGGTGGAGTCCGAGTACATGGCACTCTTCCGTGCCGTACGGGAGATTGTGTGGCAGCGGCGTTTGTTGGCTGAATTGGGGGAGGAGCAGCAAGGACCTACCCCACTGTACTGTGACAGCCAGGGTGCCATTGCTCTTGCTAAGAACCCTGTGTTGCATGGACTCACGAAGCACATGAGGGTGAAGTGGCATTGGACGAGGAGCATGGTAACCGCGGGTGAAGTTGAGTTGCGCTACGTGAAGACCACGGGGCAGCCGGCTGACATGATGACCAAGAGGCTGGTGGAGCAGCAGCATTGGAAGTGTTGCAAGCTGGCTGGGATGGCTCTGAACTGAGAGAGCAACATATCCTAAGGCCAACAATCCGAGGGGGAGTTTGTTGGTGCAACCCTACGGTTTGCACTCGGCTTGTTGTCCGTGTGCGTGAATGTGTGTGTGTATGGAATGGTATGAGGGCATGGGATAATATATATTTCATGCTTATAATTGTGTGTGAATGTTGAGTCATGATGTCGAGTGTGTGTGTCGAGTCAATAGCGAGTTATCGCTAGACGCGTGTTACGCGGTCGTTTGTGTCTCGCGCGCGGTTTCTATTTTGTCGTGCGCGGTTTCTATTTTGTCCTGTGTCGAACGTTCGGCGTGTCGCAGGTGTGTGCAGCAGACCCATCAAGAACTCAAGGATGAGTTTGTGATGAAGAGCCCGAGCCTTGGTGTCAAGCCTCAAGTGATTTCGAAGCTTGCCAAAAGGGTACACCTCAAGATATTGAAGATAGTTACATTACTTTGTGTAGTGTAACATTTCACTTGGTGTAGGCCCTAGTGAAGGGTAGTTTCGAGACCCTTCGTGGTTGGGGACAGTGTGGCACTGTTCCACATCACTGTACCTCGGCTCTTGGGGTTTGTAGGAGCTGGGAGTCATTCCCAACTCGTAACTCTTCCTATCTTGTGTTCTAAGACTATAGTGGCTGCCATAGTACCGTTCGTTCAAACCGACGCTGTGTCGTCAATTCTTTATCAAATCGTGCAATCTAAATTGCTAATTGTAGACGACGTGAAGACGCTCCAGATCCAATTTGAATCAAGTCATTTGCAGCTGTGAGCAGAACGCTATCAACGTTTGAAGCCGCTGTGCAGAAATCCGTCTGTGCTCTCTATCTTTCGTTTTAGGCACATTCAAGCCTATTGTGACTATAACAGGATGTCCCAGGGACCGCGTGGGGCAATCCCTACCTCGTGGTGATGCCTGACATCATGCAGCAGGCGGACCTGGGCATCATGAGCCACATTGTGGCTGTCGTGCGCAAGATGAAGAAGCGGCGTGTGAAGCAGATGGACAGGTCAGTGTGTTGGGGATTGGATTCGTTGCTCTTCGTCACATTTACTCAAACCATAAGTTCTGTCCTATTACTGACATGTTTCTGCCCTTTTGCAACCGCTGAACTGATGTGTATGGGCAGGCGCCTGTCTCTCATTCGCGACCGCACGCGCCTGAATCGCATGCGCCTGCCGGAGAGCGCCTACTTCGAGACCGGAGCATGTGTGGCGACCTATGAGCACAGGGCCGTCATGCAGGTATGAACCCTCCATTCCCTGTTGCTTGTCCTGGCCTAAACCCTCAAGCAGTCTGCTCATGCTGCCATTGTTTGTCCCAACTCCTCACACCATCTGTGCTCACCCTCCCCTTTGCTGCTATCCACATTCTTTGCAGGTCATGGTGTTTGTTTTTGCAGGCCTGCTTCGCCAGCCCCAGATGGATGCCGTTCGTGCCTATCTTGGCTGGTACATCCTGTGCTCCCAGCCTCAGGGGCACACTGAGCGGTCCCTCCGGGAGCTGAAGAAGATGAACTCTCGGTAATAATACCACGCATGTAAACCCCCGTGCATGGGATGAATGCTTGGCTACTGTAAATGTGCTCTTGTAGTAGGCAATCTTGTGAGGAAGTTTTGTGCTAAACTTTGATAGGAAAGGATCAGGAATAGGAAACCATATGAATAAGTAGACTCTGTGATTGCATGTGTTGTCATCTCCCACTCCCATCAGGCTCGTTGAGCAGTTGCAGGCTGCGTTTCCAAAGCAGCCATCCTCTTGGTGCCTTGTGAAAACGCATCTCATGTCGCACTACGTCGACTCCATACGTCGCGCGGGTCATGTGACTGAATTCAGCACCAACATGTTCGAGCACTTGCACGGACCGTTGGTAAAGAGGATCCACCGTCGGTCCAACAAGCGCAATGTATATGGGCAGATCATGAAGTTCCATGCTAGGCGCATTCCGGATGTGGTGCCGGTGGATGATCCTGCTGGCCGGGACACCGCCATGCGGCAGGTAAATTTGTTTAGTGCTTGAATTGCATGGATATGAATGCAGAATGTAATACTATCAATAGCATATGTTGGCAGGCGATTGAGACCGACACACGGACGCTCATCAAGGAGTCATACTTCCTCCCTGTGGAGTTACCACAAGAACCCACCTCCACCAACTGGTTTGCAAGGAAGTGGGCCAAGCAACACCCTCGTGCCCAAGCTGCCCTCAAGGATGCGCTTATGCGTTATGCAGGATGCGTCACCAAGATTCGAGTAAGTAGTTGCAAGTTTGTGCAATCAACCATGATTTGGCTGGCTCGTATCATACATGACTAACATCAACTGTTATGCAGGCCCATGCATCGCTGGCAATCCCTGCAGCAGACGACGCCAGCTTCTCAAGAGTTTCTCACTTCGTTCGAGCGACCCCTGACTATTTTGAGAGGCCATGGTACTCGGATGTTGCAGTGGAGGGTGTAAGGTATGGTCGGAGAGAGGAGTGGTATGCAAGGTTGCTTCTGTTGTTCCATACAAAAATACGTGGAGAGAGGGAGGAGCTGGCTTACGTTAGATATTGGAATGCAAGCGGAGAGGATACAGCAACAGGATGCCTTCGCCTCAAGTGGACGACAGGAATGTACGCGTACTCCGTGATTCCGATTGAAGCGCTTCTCCGCCACGTCCATGTGGTGAAGGCATTCCACCTGGACAGTACCTATCTCCTTAATAAGTATCAAATGTGATGCATTTATCTTGTAATAAAATGGCCAGCATATTTTCAAGCAGACACATTTTAGGGAAGTCAAAGCTTAAAAAACCAATTACAAAATCACAACAAATTTGGCACGCTTCAAATAAACGGCAATGTACCGGAGTCGCGGATTCGATCTAGACTTCGACAAACAAACGCGGTCCGATTTCATTCCGTGATTGGTCGCGATTTGGCTTCGGAACTTCGCCAACCAAAACACCTGAACTGTACCCCCCTTCGAACCCCCTTCAAAAACCAAGGTTTTTTGTGATGTGTGGGATTTGGAGGAGAAGAGCAGCTGCATTAAGGATCTGTGGCAGCTGCCCATCATCCCCTGGAACGGGAAACCACCAGCAACAGCAGCGGCCTCAGCAACGGCTAAAGCAACTGCGGGAGGAGAGGTGACTGCACCAACTGATGGGCCCTGGATGTAGTCAAGAAGGTGTAGCAGCCACAGCAACCACATGGTGAGGTGCTTGCTGGTGTGGATGCCACAGCTGCATGGGCGAAGGCTTCATCTGGGAGTGGTGAGGCTGATTGGGAGACGTGGCACGGGAGGCTATGTCATGTGAATTTTCCTATGCTGCAGAAGTTAGTTACGGATGGGAGCGTGAAGGGGTTGGAGGTGAAGGGGGCAGCAAAGGAGATTGGGAGCTGCCCTACATGCCTTGAGACGAAGTTCACCAAGTTTCCCTTCAGCAGTAGCACAGGACCAGCCAAGGCACCGCTCGCGCTTGTGCACATGGATGTGGTGGGCCCTACGAGGGCCCCTTCTCTCTCGGGCAGCCGCTACTTCTTGACCATTTTGGATGAGCACACACGTGCGGTGTGGGTGTACCCTCTCAAGACCAAGCGGGGGGTGGCAGCGGCTGTTCTTAAGGAGTGGATGCCGAGAGCTCAAAGGGAGAGCGGACACAAGGTGAAGGTGATCCGCACCGACAACGGAGGACAGTCATTGGAAATGAGTTTGAGGCGGTGCTGAAAGAAGAAAGGCATTCAGCATCAGCTCATAGTGCCCTACAACCCTCAGTAGAACGGCGTGGCTGGGCGGTTCAACCGGACCCTGCAGGAAGGTGCTCGTACTCTCCTTGGGCGTGCAGGGCTGCCGGATCCGTTTTGGGTGACTGCACTGCGGCATGTCGCCCTTGTGAAGAACAGGGTGCTGGCGTCTGTGGGGGACAAGTAGTGGGTCCCCTACACCAAGTGGTACGGGAGTGCTCCAGCTGTGAACATGTTGAGAGCCTTTGGGTGCATGGTGGTGTTTCATGTGCCTAAGGAGAAGAGGGGAAAGTTGGAGGCTTCTGGGAGATGGGGTGTGCACTTGGGGCTTGCTAATATCACAAGGGCTGGTTGATATGGGACTTGACCAGCCAGCAGCTGACTGTGTCAAGGGATGTGAAGTTCCTTGAGTCACTGTACTACAAGGAATGGAAGCAGCAGCAGCAGAAGCTTCCTACTACACCACTGTTCATTGAGGCCGATGACGTGCAGCGGCCTTCGAGGTAAGTGCAGGTCACTGTCTCTGAGGAGGAGATCTCTGGGGTGACAGAGGATGGGGGAGAAGCTGAGGTGGAGGAGCAGCAGCAGCAGCAAGATGCTCCACCACGTGACCAACGTCCGCATGACCGTCCTAGGAGGGATGTTCGCCCTCCTAACAGGCTGACCTTTCCAAGTTTTGGAAAGCCAAAGGTGGTACGGGCTGGGAGTGTGGATGAATAGTGTGATGAGGATGAGATAGCACACTGCTACTGGGCAGCCGTCCCTGAGCCCGAGACGCTAGCAGAGGCGTTGAGTGGGCCCGATGCTGAAAAGTGGAAGCAGAGTATGAAGGAGGAGTATGACTCTCTGCTGGAGAATGAGACGTGGGAGCCGTGTGAGCTGCCTCCTAGGAAGAAGGTCATTTCTTCCAAGCTGATCTTCAGGCATAAGTACGGACCAGATGGGGTGCTGACCCGCTACAAGTCAAGGCTTTTAGCTAAGGGGTTTCAGCAGACAAAGGGAAAGGACTTCGACGAGCTCTATGCTCCTGTGGGGAGAGGGACAATACTGAGGGTGATGTTGGGAACGGCTGCAAGCCACAGATGGAAGATAAAGCAGATGGACATCACGACCACGTTCCTAAATGGGATCATCCTGGAGGAGCTGTACATGCTGCAGCCTGAGGGGTTGGATGATGGGAGCGGCAGGGTGTGCAGGCTGAAGAAGGCCATTTATGGCCTGAAGCAGGCTCCTCGTGCATGGTACCACAAGCTAGAGGAGACACTGCTGGTTGGGGGTTTTAAGAAGAGTGACTGCGACCACGGCCTGTTCCTGTTGCAAGAGAAGGAGCCGTTTCTCATGCTCCTGGTGTATGTGGACGACATCCTGCTCTTCTCTGAGTCGTCTGCAATGATTGAGCGTGTGGAGGAGATGCTGGAGATGCAGTTTAAGTGTTCCAAGATGGGAGATGTGAAGTACTACTTGGGGATGCATGTGGAGAGGGACCTTGACAAGGGAGTGTTGAGGTTGCACCAGAGGAAGTATTGTGAGGGGCTGGCTAAAAAGTATGGGCTGCAAGATGGAGGAAAGCCAGCCACCCCACTGCCTTCGGGGTTCACTGTAGAGCCCTGTGCTGATGAGAAGGTGGTGGCTGAGAGTGACAAGAAGCTGTTTCATTCCATGGTTGGGGCAATCAACTATGTGGCTAACCACACGCGGCCTGACATTGCCTTTGCAACATCCAGGCTTGCCAGTGTGGTCTCACGCCCCAGTCATGAGCAGTTGGAAACGGCCAAGAGATTGGTCCGCTATGTGAGCTCTACAGCATCTGTGAGTTTGGAGTACAGTGCTGTGAGGCAAAGGCAGAAGCGAGGTGCTGCTGATTTGAGCAAGGAGGAGATGCTCTTGACCTGCAACACTGATGCTAGCTTCAAATCTGTGAAGACGAATGGCACCAGCATTGGAGGCTATGTGTGACTGTTTGGAGGTGGTGCAGTGAGTTGGCGCAGCAAGAAGCAGAACGAGGTGGGGCTGTCCTCGTGTGAGAAAGAGTACATGGCCCTGCATCATGGGGCCAAGGAGGTGGTGTGGCTGATGCGTTTGTTGGAGGAGATCAGTGTTGGTCAGAGGGAGCCGAATGTGATGTACTGTGACAATGAGTCGGCAGTGAAGTTAGCCAAGAATGCTTGTCTTCATGGGCTGACCAAACACATCAGGCCTAAGTGGTATTGGGTGAGGAGGCTCTTGGACAAGGAGGTGCGGCTGGAGATTGTGAAGACCCATTAGCAGGCGGCTGACATTCTCACCAAGCGTCTGGCTGAACCTGAGCATTAGAAAGGGATGAAACTTGCTGGAACGAGTGTTCATTGAGGATGCATGCTTGAGTTGTGGCATATGGGATGATGGTTGGCAGCCAGAGGGGGAGTTTGTTAAATGATGCTATCATTTGCATTCACGTCTGTCTGCCTCCCATCATATGTTCGTGCGTTGCATGCGTGGTGTGAGCGTGTGCAAGAATTTGTATTTGGTGTGGTTTGGATTCACTAAGTATGTGTGTGAATCATATTTTGCTTGGGCAGATATCTGCAATGACTCCTCTGCTCAAGAGCTTTCCGAAGAACCAAGAATCGCCGCGATCGGAGCAAGAACGAGAAATATATGATCGTTCGAAGTTTTGATTGTGATGCGACGACTATGGGAATTTGCGGGTTGACTCAATATGGGGTACAGACTTTTGGGGTTTGGGAAATTCGTCCCCATCACTGTAGATGATGCCAAGTGGTTGGGAGAAACCAAATTGGGCTGGCAAGTGTGGCCAACTTGGGTGAGGTGAATTTGTGGAGGTTGGGAAAGTGACAAATGTCAAAGTTGGGGTTCCTATAGAGAGGGGAATTGTGTGGCATGGGGTTTCCTTGGTTGGGGACTCTCTTGGGACCTTCCCTCTCGTCCTCCTCATCCCCTCCCACCTGGTCTATTGCTACTCTAATCCTCTTTGTGAGAATTGTGAAAACCATTGTGATTGAATTAAGTTTCTATGGCAGCATACCCACTAGTGCGCCGAAATTGATAACTCCATATTTAATTCATCTTTTTGTACGATTCAAATTGTGAAATGTAGCCACGGTCTAGTGCAACAACATATCTAAAATTGGTGAAGTTTCAAAAGTGCGTTTTTCGTCGACGGCGTTTCTCGTGAAGTCGACGATTCTGTCCAGACTTCTAAGCCAACGATTTTGAGAAATTTAGGCACCTAATCTTCGTAGACTCCGTCCTTAATCTCTAACAATCCGACTGCTCGTCCCTCACGCACCTCTCTGCTTCCCTCGCGCAGCTCTCCTGTCTGCATGAGCTGAACCTCAGTTGCACCAGCATCCAGATGCTTCCTCCTGGCTTTACTCAGCTCAGCAGTCTGAAGAATCCCAAGCTTAGGAACTGCAGGCAGCTCCATGCTCTGCCTGACGGCATACGAGATCTCTCAATGCTCGACATTCTTGATACTAAGGGTTGTGACTGTTTGAAATAGGAGTTAGGTGATTGGATGTCGATTAGGTGAGGGAGAGGGGTACAAGACTATCGCGAGAAATGAGTTGTACCCTCTAAGGAATGACCCCTACACAACCTATAGAGAAATAAACAGAAATATGCTTTGACACACCCCCATAGGTGAAGTAGGGGATAGCCAAACCAAACAGTGGTCACAAGACCAGTCAAGCAAGAGAACAAGCAAGGCAAAGCCCAGAGTGGACTCAAGGACACCATTCAATCTGAGCACAAGCAAGCGGCCACAAGGCCAGTTCACATGCAGGTTTATAATAGGAAGGCAGTACACTGATCACAACCTAGCAAGAGTAAACATGCAGGTATAAAGATATATAGCAGTGTACAACAAGAGCAAGTCAAGCAACCAGCAGGTGAGGCAGAGTGGGCACAAGCCCAAGAGCAGTGCAAAAACGATGAAGATCACCAGACCCGAGGGCCTTGGTGAAGACATAAACAGTGTTGGCCCAAGAGGCCACGTAAGCAAGGCGCAGCTGACCACGCTGATGCAGCTCCCGAGGAAGAAAGTAACAAAGAGCGATGTGCTTCGTTCTGTGCTCCAGTCTCTGCTCGCGACACAAGGCAAGCATTGCCTTGTTGTCGACGTACAGAACTGGAGGAGAACGAGGCCGCTCCCCCAAGTCAGTCAGCAGGTTGGTCAGCCAGCTTAGCTCCTGTGCAGCCATGGCCCCAGCGTAGATCTCGGCCTCACAGCTGGAACCAAGCACAGAAGAAGAACGAGTGGACCTCCACGAGACAGAACCAGAGCCAAGACTGAAGGTGTAACCCTGTGACGAACGCTGAGTCGCTTTGTCGTCGGCCCAAGAAGCGTCAGAGTGTCCTGTGAGTACCAAGAACCCCGTCCTCCAAGCACGAGCCCCATGCCCGATGAACTGCACAGGTAACGTAGTACCCTCTTTGCAGCATCAAAGTGCACCTTTCGGTGTCGACCAGGTGCCACGTAGCAAGACAGGAGGCAGAGAGGGTACGCGAGGTCAGGTCGTGTGCACGTCATCAGGTACATGAGGCAACCCACAAGCTCTGGGTACGGACCACTCGGCTCTACGGACTCGTCCGAAGGTGGAGCTGAGAGCGAGTGGCCAGTAGACAGAGGATTGGGCTGTGGCGAGGAGTACTGGAAGCCGAAGCGCCAAATGACATGGTGCACCATGTGTGACTGAGTCAGGGTGATGGTGCGTCGTGCTCTGTCCCGGGTGATCTTCAAGCCAAGATAGCTCCGCAGCTCACCCAAGTCAGTGCAGGTGTGTCTCTCCTGCAGCTCCGCCTTCACTAGGGCCAGCGCCTCAGTGTCAGCAGTAGAAAAAACCAAGTCGTCGACGTACAGGAGAACGTAGAACGGCGGCAAAGTAGTGTCGGTGCGTAGAAACTGCGACGGGTCAGCAGAGGAAGGAGCAAACCCAAGAGCCGCAAGTGTCATCCTCAGTGTGTCGTGCCACTCGCGGGGCGCCTGGCGGAGACCGTAGACTGGTCGCTGGAGGCTCCATTAGGTACCGGCAGGAAGCGACCCAGTGAAGCCAAGTGGGCGGCGCAGCCAGATCCCCTCGTGAAGGCTGCCCTGCAAGAAAGCTGTGGAGAAGTCAAGGGAGTGCAGCTCGTAGTCACGCTGTGCTGCAACGTGCAGCAGCACCTGAAGAGTAGTCATCTTCGGGGTGGGGGAGAAGGTCTAGAAGAAGTCGACCCCCTGTCGCTGACTGAAACCTCGAGCAACGTAACACGTCTTGAAGGCAGGCGGAGAACCCGGCGGCCGCTTCACCCTGAAAATCAACATGCCACTGACGATGTTCGACCCAGGTGAGGGAACCTCGTCGACGTAGGTGCCTGTGGACATCCAGGAAGCCATCGCTGCGTCCATTGCTGCCTGCGACTAAGAGGAGTACTCACCCGATATCGCCTCTCTGTAAGAGCGCGGGGTGGGGATGTCAGGTTCATCCAGGTCTCCCTCAGGGCAAAGCAGCATGGACGTAAAAGGAGGTAAAGCGGCCGCAAGACTCTCAAGCTCAAACTGCCTGTCCTCAAGGACGTCACTGCTAAGGGCAGGCTCACCCCCGACAAACGGAGGACAGACAGACTCAGACTCAGTAACAAGATTTGCGACGTAGTCGAGATGACTCCTAGCTGCAAAGTGGACTAGCTCAGTGAATAGGGCAAACGCAGCAGTAGACTCAAAGTCAGGGTCAGTGACGACAGTAGCGAGGAGACGAGTGACAGTAGGACTGGTAGCACGAGCAAGGTCAGACTCAGGGTCAAGAACGTGCGGAAGAGAGGACGCGGGAGGCTTAGGCAGGACAACACGCTGTGGAATAGAGGAAGGACGAAGTGCCATACCGTGAGTGCCTGGGACTGTAGGAGGACGAGGGCGGGGGACACGACGAGCATGAACAGGTGTGGAAGCACGAGTCTCAGGCTCACAACGCTCAGTAAGGGACTCAGTCACCTCAGTGTGAGGAGCAGGAGCAGGCAGTGGGGAGCCAGGCAGTATAGCTGTGGCTAAGACTGGTCTGTCGGTGGACACAGGAGAGGTGGAGTGAGGCCAGTGGAAGACGGGAGACTAAGAACCTGGTGAAGGACCGAGTCAGGCGGCGGCAGGGACGAGTGCGGCTGCGGGTAGAAAAACAGTCGGCGCGGGGCAGAACCAGCAGCCAGCTCCTCCAGCACCAGTAGCGCCAGCATCTCCAGCACCAGCAGCTCCAGTAGCACCTCTAGCACCAGCAGCACCACGAGCTCCGGCAGCACGAGCACCTCTAGCACCAGTAGTACCTCCAGCACCTCCAGTAGCACCTCCAGCACCTCCAGCACCAGCAGCACCACCTGCTCCGGCAGCTCTAGCACCTCTAGTAGGAGCACCTCTAGGACCGGCAGCTCCAGCACCTCCAGTACCTCCAGCTCCAGCGCCTCCAGCACCAGCCGTACCTCCAACACCTCCAGCGCCAGCAGCTCTAGTAGCACCTCCAGCACCTCCGCCACTAGGACTCGCAGCACCCCCAGAGTCACCACCCCCAGTCGCAGCACCCCCAGAACCAGTACCCCCAGTCACAGCACGCCCAGACGCAGCACCCCCAGAACCCTCACCCTCTGTCTCAGCACCCCCAGGCTCAGCACCAGCAGTCTCAGCTCCAGAGTCCACAGCAGCAGGCTGCGGAGGCGGCGAAGTCGGCCAAGGCGGAAAACCAGGGGGGGTCTCCAAGCGTGGTGAGCGGCGAGTGGCCACCGTGTCGTCAGCGACTGGGTCACCCCCCTCAGCTGGGCCAGAGGAATCAGAAGAGATCTCCACTGGCTCAACCAAAGGGGGTGGCTCTACCTGAGACACACCTGAGGGAGCAGGACCCTGTGGGGGGGAGGGGGTCTACCGGGGGGGGGGGACTGGCACCAGGAAGAGAGGCGCGAGGGGGACCGGGTGGGACGCGTGCGGTTGTAGTCTGTAGAAACAGGCAGACTCGTCAAAGGTGACGTCCTGGGAGGAGAAGACCCGACGCGCGCGTGGGTGGTAGAACTGCCACGGCGGGGCGTCGGTGGGGAAGCCAAGGAAGACGCAGCGGAGAGTGCGAGGGGAGAGCTTGCTCGCGTTCGCATCGCGAACAAGAGAGAGCGCGCCCTAGACCCGAAACACCGACGCATCGCCAACCTTCCCCGTCCACCAGAGGGTGGGCGAGGTCTCTGGCTCAGAGACACGGGGTCAAAGGTTGAGCTGATGCGCAGCGTATCGGACCGCAAGCGGCCATAGAAAATGGGGAGCAGCCGCATGGATCACGGAGGTACGAGCAACCTCCATGATCAAGCCAATGCGACGCTCAGCAATCCCATTCTGCTGAGGAGAGGCCGGAAGCGTGAACGTCTGGCTGATGCCCTCAGCTTGACAGAACTCCTCAAGGAGGCCGGAAGAGAACTCACCGCCCCTGTCAGGGTGCGGACGCAGGACTGGGAAGTCCCGACAAAACCGCTCGCGCAGCTGGTGACGAGTAGCACGGATCCAAGGGATCAAAACACCGTTGACGTCCGCCTTGCATCGCAAGGGGAAGATAGTGGTGTAGCATGTGTAGTCGTCAACAACTAGCAGGAAGTAGCGCTCCTGGTCCGTTCCACCGATGGGGGCCGGGCCCCACACGTCCATGTGGAGAGTTTGCAGAGGAGCGGTGGTCGGAGGAAACTCGGAGGAGTGAGAAGCGGCGCGCTGCCGCCCCTCGACGCAAGGAAGGCACGGCGGTGCAAGCGAGCGCGGGAGGGAGGGCAGGGACCTGGGAAGCCCAGAGACAAGGAGACGGGAGTGCATGCTGCGGAGACGCGGCAGCGAGGGGTGACCGAGACGGTGGTTCCAGAGAAGAGTCTGGTGAGAGAGTACCCGACACGAGCAAGACGCTGCAAGCTGACCAGACGTAGACACCCGACTCGAAGCAGCCACCTGACCTGACTCAGCCACCTGTGCAGACTCAGTGGTCAGTGTGTACAGACTAGACCCAGGTCGTCTAGTGAACGTCGCAAGGTGACGGCCAGTCTTGGAACACGTACAGATCGCCACACGCTGCCCTCCAGGAGTAAAGGTATCAACCCAGACATCCTGAAGAGCGGCGTTGCTCACCAAGTTCGTCGAGAACGAGGGGAAGTGGAGGCCTGACAGAGAACCAGAGGGGACTGCTAGACACGGGAGAACAGTGGAGGCTCGTGCGACTACTGGGCCCCCAGAGGGGTCAGCCAGTGAGACTGGGACAGGTGCAGCTAGTGGTGTGAGTGTGGTGCAGCCACAAAAGAAGCAACGAGACGCGCCTGAGTCAAGTGTGAAAGTGTGTAGTGCCTCAGTGGAGGCAGCTGACTCACTAGGAGCAGACTCACTAGCACAAGTGACAGCAGACATACTAGCACCTAGGGCTGCAGCAGACTCACTAGCACCTGGGACAGCAGACGCACTAGCACCTAGAGCTGCAGTAGACTCGCTCGTACCAAGATCAGTAGCAACGACACCAGCATCACCAGGGACACACAAGTAACACGCACCCTCATCACTAAGCTCAGGCTCATACATAGCATATATAGCCTTGTTGATCTGAACAAAGTCAAGAGCATAAACATCTACTCCCATTCCCTGCAGTTTCAGCCAGTTGGGGGCTGGCAGCTCATCCCCGTACTCATCCACCCAGGCATCCTCAAGGCGGCCGAAGCAGCGATGCTCAGTGTGCGGTTTCCCTTCAGCTTCCCTGTGCGCCTGACGTACGGGCAGCGACCAGAGCCCTCAGAAGAACCACGCTGGACAACCCACTCACGAAGCTGCTAAGGGGTGGGGTTGTCCGGGAGGCGTGGCAGCTGCTGTCCACTCCCAAAGCATCCACCGCCACGCGCGGAAGCTCCACGGCCTTCACCCTTGCTAGCTCCACCCCGACCTCCTCCACCGCCCCCGCCGCCTCCACCACCCCAGCCGCTTCCACCACCCCCGCTGCCTCCACCACCCCCGCCGCCTCCACCACCCCCGCCGCCTCCACTACCCCCGCCGCCTCCACCACCCCCGCCACCCCCACCGCTGTTGCCACCCCCACCACCCTTGCCCCCTTTGCCCTTGCTGTTGTTGCGTCTTCCACTAGGAGTAGACGCAGCGCCAACCTCCTCAGCACCAAGGAGGTCGACAGTAGCAGCAGTAGCAACTGAGGGGAGGAGAGGGGAGGGAGAACATTCTTCAAAGAAGGGGGAGCGGGGAGTGCCGCGAGAGGCAGCGACAGCATTGGTGCTCTTCTCTGCCTCGAGAAGGGACTTCTCGAGCGAGTCAAGCGTGAGCTCAGTGGGGTCAAGGGCTGGGAACTGGTCCTTGACAGTGCGAAGGGAGTCAGGGAGGCGAGTGACTAGGAGGTACAGGGTGAAATACTGCGGGGGGGGGGGGGGGGGGGTTCTTAGCGAGAAAGTCCGGCTTGAGAGCGGAGCGGAAGCGAGCCTCATAGTGCGGAGGTGGGTAAAGAGGTCAGCGACAGTGGTGAAGGTGGCTAGGTCGGGATGCAGGTACGGCAGCATGAGACGGGCCTACGGCAGCAGTGACTGGGGAGGAGTAGCGGGCGACGACAGCGTCATAGAGGACCTGTGCTGTTTTTTGCTGGCTAAAATGCGCTCGTTCAGCAACAGAAAGGTGGTTGCGAACCGCAAGGAGGGCAGTAGCATCACGAATCATCCACTTAGTATGAGCAGCTGTCTCTGTGGCAGGTGGGGTGGGGAGGGTTCCGTCGCCTCGCTCTGCAGGAACAGCCGGAGGTCATCGAGCCAGATGTCAAAGTCGATCGCGCGGCCCTCAGCGTCGAAACTAAGAATGGAGACGGTAATCATAGTAGCAGTAGCAGCAGCAGCAGCAGCAGCAGCAGCAGTAGCAATAGCAGCAACAACAACTATACAGAAGGGGCAGGGCAGGGCGGGGCTGGCAGGGCAGCGCGGCTCGGCAGGGCGGCGCGGCTCGTGCTGGGCAGGGCGCAGCAGCGGCGCAGCAGCAGTGACAAAAATAGTTGCAGCAGCAAGTAGCAGCAGAAGCAGCAAGGAGGAGCAGCTGCAGCAAGTAGCAGCAGCAGCAGCAGCAAGGAGGAGCAGCTGCAGCAAGTAGCAGCAGCAGCAGCAAGGAGGATCAGCTGCAGCAAGTAGCAGCAGCAGCAGCAAGGAGGAGCAGCTGCAGCAAGAAGCAGCAGCAGCAGCAAGGAGGAGCAGCTGCAGCAAGTAGCAGCAGCAGCAGCAAGGAGGAGCAGCTGCAGCCAGTAGGAGCAGCTGTAGCAAGTAGCAGCAGCAGTAGCACCCAGGAGAAGGTGCACAGCAGCAGCAGCAGCAGCAGCAGCAGCAGCTCAGGCGCAGTAGCAGTTCAGGCGCAGCAGCAGCTCTGGGGCAGCAGTGCGCTAGCAGATCGCGGGCAGGGCTAGCAGCGCGCGGGCAGCCAATGAAGCGCGCGAGCAGCAGGGGCAGCGCGCAAGCAGCAGGCGCAGCGTGCGGGCTGTAGGACAGGGCGTCGCAAGGCCTGGGCAGAGGGGCGCGCGTGACTAGGCAGAAGAATCGTCGCGCCTAGGGGACGGGACGCGCCTAGGGCAGAAAAATCGTCTCGCCTAGGGCGCGTTTCGCGTTTCGCCTAGGGGCGCGACTCGGGCAGCAGATAAAAAAATTAATGGTGGGCCCGTTTAAAAATCTGGTCCTAAGGACCATTTCGCTCTTAATACCATGTTTGAACTAGGAGTTAGGTGAATGGATGTCGATTAGGTGAGGGAGAGGGGTACAAGACTACCGAGAGAAATGAGTTGTACCCTCTAAGGAATAACCCCTACACAACCTAGAGAGAAATAAACAGAAATATGTTTTGACAGTGACATGCTGCAGCGCTGACGGTGCTTTCCACCTCATATGCTTACAGTGGTTCCATATACTCAGGGGTCCTTAAAATAGCTCAAACTCAGATTTGACTGAGTGTAGATTCCTTTTCAATCATAGTGTTATGGGCCTTGTGAGTGCCGCGGGCTGCGGTGTTGAAGTGCTGTGGGCTGTGGTGTTGAACTGCTGTGGGCTGTGGAATGAGCAGCAACAGATCTAGGCAACCATCAGTGCCCTCTCAGCACCCTGTTCACTTCTGTATGGTGACAATTGATAACAATTTACCCTTCCAAGCATGAGTGACGACAACGGCAACAGACACGTGTTAGGCATTTCTTTCACCCACCAACCACCTTACTGTTCCATGCATAAACCCAATCACATCGCACACCTTACTGGTGTTTCAAACTCATAATACAGACAACCATCCTAGAACCTGCTGCTGCTGCTGCTTCTGCAGCCCTTGCTTCCTCTATACCAACACCTCACAAACATACAGAGATCTCACATCTGAAAAAACAATAGAAACTGACATCCAGCATGTTCTTTCCTGCTCCAGCTTCTTCTTGCAAAGTTTTTCATTCAAGGCCAGGATCAACCTGCTGCTCCTACCCCGTTTTGCTGCTTCTTTTTTCTCCCATTCCGCTTTCGCCCGTGCCGTGTTCTCCCACTCCACTTTTGCCCGTGCCGTTTCACTCCCATACCTTACAAATTCACCTTTCCTGCATTCTCCAGTGCTTTCTCCATTGCCGCCTTTGTTGCCCTACTCACATCCTCTGGCCTCAACGCATTCACATAGACTGCCATCACCGCCTTATGTGCTGCCGCCTGTCCCGCCGCCATTGCCCATCCCGCGATCCTCGATGCCGTGTTTGCCTGTCCCACCATCTCCTCTCGCGCCACCTGATCTGCCAATGTCACCTCATGAACCTTCGCCTTCACTGCCGCCGCCGCTTGTGCCGCAATATTCTGTGCCGGTGTCGCCTCTGCCGGCGTCGCCTGTGCCGCCGGCGCCGCCTGTACCGCGGTCTCCTGTGCCGCCATCTCCTGTGCCGCCATCGCCTCTGCCGGCGTTGCCTGTGCCGCCGTCTCCTCTGCCGCCTCCTGGTGCTTCCACTCCTCAACTGCCGTCAGCATCCTCTGCTTCTCAACGGGCGTGCCCACCGACTCAGCAGCCTGGAGCTGCTGCTGCTTCTCATTCCGCTGCTCCTCCTGCTGCTGCAGTTTTCGCTGCACTGGAGCAACATCTCGGACACGCAAGTGAGCCCACGAATCGCCAGAGTCATCGTTTTCAGAAACCGAGGGCCTGATGGAAGCTTGGACTGAGAGACCGCCTGTGAGGGGAAAAATTCGGGAGAAGTTTAGAGGCACGAGTGAGCATCGACGGATTGCTTGCAAAGAAACGGCGCTCTTCAGGCCACTGCCAGGTGGCCATTCTGCGTCGACACACAGAAAAAGAAGTTAAAAAAGGAAACGTCGGGGGTGAGAGCATCTTACGTCGATCGTTCTCATTGGAGGGAAGCAGCCGGCCACGAGCTCCTTCACTGCCTCGCGGCCCGCAAGACATGGCCAGGACGAGAAGGAATCCCAGTAGCATCATAGTGACTGTCTCGCGACGAATTTGACTCTGGAAGTTGTTGAGTAGAACTGTCGAGTCACTCGACGGTCTGTTCTGTTTGCACTGCCAGTGTGGATTTACGATACGGAAAATATAGGCACAAGGACTTCACTACGCTGCTGGGGGTTGTCAAGCGCACTGACTGGTTCCCAATAAGCTCGAGTCGCCAACCAGCAATCTCATCCTGTGCATAAATCACACTCCATCCTGTCACGAAATATGGAGGGGCGATAATGCGGGAAAGCAATAATGCAATCCAGGAATCTAAAATGGTTAGGGCGTGGGGCATCGTGTGCAAACAAGTCCCAGCAGTGCATGGGTCGATTGGAAGGCGGGTTTTGAGTTGAGCACGCACTGTTACTGAACTTCTTCGCTCCCAGCGAAGCTACAGCGCTTCTGGCGCACTGTTACTGCTCTATTTTCACTCACAACGCAGAGTTAGCTCCTTTCAACGCAGTTTTGATTTCATTGGTCCACACATGGCACATAACTACAAACCGAACCTGTGGATACTGTCACAGAAAACAGTAACTACTTATATATGTTTTTAGTGCTAAAACTTTTATATACCCCTTTAAAAAAGTATCGACCCTAAACACCTTCCGAATGGTGTTTAGGGTTGATGCTCTATTGAGACAAGCCATCGAAAAATATATACTCGTTGGGAAGGGCATCAATCCTAAACACCTTGTCTCCCGGTGTTTAGGGTTGATGTCTCCCTCGAACAACATGCCACCCGATAGGGTTTTATTTTTTTATGCCCGAAAATCTTTCGTTTGACGGTTCTGTGGCCGCCAACCAAATCAGAGTTATCGGCCCGTCAATTCTACGACCAATGAAAGCAAAACTGCGTTGAAAGGAGCTAATTCTGCGTTGTGAGCGAAAACTGGCAGTAACAGTGCGCCAGAAGCTTTGTAGATTCGTGGGGAGAAAATATGATTAGTAACAGTGCGTGCTCATCTCAAACCCCTTGGAATGCTCGCAAAATGGGCTATAACATGGGTTCTGGAACACTGTTAATTGGTTACTCCGTCCTTCTGACGGAGATCCAGTCACCATACAACCACTTACGAAAAAACCACCATACTTCATAATCGTTGTATCCTTCGTTCGGTTCTGGTTGAAAAGGTGTTTCGCGAAGTTTCAGTCAGAAGTGGAATGGTACTTCGCTGGAAAATTTCTCGCATAAATTACATGAAAGGGTAACCCTCTTCCAGGTCCCTCACAGGCTAACATCGACCACGTCCTGAGACGGAATGTTGTGGAGGTGCAATAATGCTATGTGTCTGCAATGCGCAACACTCGCGACACTGGCGAAAATGGATGAAATGTGGAAATTGTAACAAACCGTTTTTGTCATTCAACTTAAAATATAGGAAAATAATCAAATATCATGCAAATACTTTCTTAGACCACGATCCAGTTGGCAAATCTGATTGTGGAAGAATGCGATTAGGATCCAAACACATCCATATTCTTGAACCATATTGATTGTTTCTATCATTTGTTTTCTTTTTCATTGAGTTGATATGGCTGAAGTATGCCGCAAGCGACAGAAGGCGAAACAAAAAAGGGTAAGCTAATGCTGCGGTTGAGAAACTGAACGAGAATGAAATGACTAAGGGAAAGTTGGGTACAAATGTAAACCCTAGAAAACTGTACCCCATATGTGCTACCCCACTATAGCCTACAGTAGCTATGTCATATAAATCTGACACACCCCCATAGGCAAAGTGGGGGAGAACAAGGGGTCACAAGACCAGTCAAGCAAAGCAAAGCAAGCTCAGGGTGGATCACAAAGTCACCACACATTCCGAGCACAAGTTCAAGGCCACAAGGCCAGTTCACATGCAGGATTACATATATATATAAGGCTAGACAAGCAAGAGCAGGTGTATATATATATGCAACAGTACAAACAAGGTCAAGGGGTGAGCAAGTGAGGCAAGGTAGGCACAAGACCCAGCTGAGTACAGAAGCGCTGATGATCACAAGGCGCAAGTGCCTTGGTGAAGATATCAGCAGTGTTGGCCTGAGAGGCCACGTACGCAAGCCGCAGCTGACCACGCTGCTGTAGCTCACGAGCAAGGAAGTAGCGGAGAGCAATGTGCTTCGTTCTGTGCTCCAGTCTCTGCTCTCGACACAAGGCCAGCATGGCCTTGTTGTCTACGTACAGCACTGGAGGAGAACGAGGCGGCTCTCCGAGGTCAGTCAGCAGGTAGGTGAGCCAGCGAAGCTCCTGTGCAGCCATGGCCCCGGCGTAGATCTCAGCCTCACAACTGGAGCCGAGAACAGAAGACGAGCGGGTAGCCCGCCACGAAACAGAGCCGGAACCAAGGCTGAAGGTGTAACCCTGTGACGACCGCTGCGTAGCCTGGTCGTCAGCCCAAGAAGCGTCTGCGTGCCCAGTGAGGACCACTGGACTCTGCCCTCCAAGCACAAGCCCCATGCCCGACGTACTGCACAAGTAACGCAACACCCTCTTCGCTGCAGCCATGTGCTCCGGTCTGTGTCTCCCAGGAGCAACATAGCGTGCGAGAATGCTAAGAGGGTATGCGAGGTCAGGTCGTGTGCAGGTCATCAGGTACATGAGGCAGCCAACAAGCTCTGGGTACGGGCCACTCGACTCTACGGACTCATCCGAAGGCAGAGCTGAGAGCGAGTGGCGAGTAGGCAGAGGAATGGCCTGAGGCGAGGAGTACGTGAAGCCGAAGCGCTGAAGGACCTGCTGCACCATGTGTGACTGAGTCAGGGTAATGGTGCGGCGTGCTCTGTCCCGGGTGATCTGCAAGCCAAGGTAGCTGCGCAGTTCACCCAGGTCTGTGCACGTGTGTCTCTTCTGCAGTTCGGACTTCACGTGGGCGAGTCCAGCAGTGTCAGCTGTGGCAAAGACCAAGTCGTCGACGTACACGAGGATGTAGAACGGCGGCAAAGAAGTGTCGGTGCGCAGAAACAGCGACGGGTCGGCAGTAGAGGGAGCAAACCCAAGAGCCGCAAGTGTAGTCCTCAGTGTGTCGTGCCACTCACGCGGTGCCTGGCGGAGACCGTAGACTGGCCGCCGGAGGCTCCACTGGGTGCCAGGAGGAAAAGACCCAGTGAAGCCAGGTGGGCGACGCAGCCAGATCTCCTCGTGCAGGCTGCCCTGCAAGAAAGCAGTGCTGAAGTCAAGAGAGTGCAGCTCGTAGTCGCGGTGAGCAGCTATGTGCAGCAGTACCCGAAGAGTGGTCATCTTCGGGGTGGGAGAGAAGGTCTGAAAGTAGTCAACTCCCTGCCGCTGACTGAAGCCACGAGCCACGTAACGCGCCTTGAAGACAGGCGGAGAACCCGGCGGTCGCTTCACCCTGAAAATCCACATGCCACTGACGATGTTCGCCCCAGGCGGGGGAACCTCGTCAACGTAGGTGCCTGTGGACTTCCAGGAAGCCATCTCTGTGCCCATAGCTGCCTGCCACTGAGATGAGTAGGGACCCTCTATCGCCTCCGCGTAAGAGCGCGGAGTCGGGATGTCAAGTGCATCCGGGTCTCCCTCAGGGGTAAGCAGTACGGACACGAGATGAGGTGAAGCAGCAGCCAAACACTGGAACTCCTCCTGCCTGTCCTCAAGGACGTCCGTGCCAAGGGCACACTCACCCCCGACGGACGGAGGACAGACAGACCCAGACGCAACGACAAGACTAGCAGCGTAGTCTAGACGACAGCGAGCAGCAAAGTCGACGAGCTCAGCAACTAGGGCAGACGCAGCAGTGGACTCAAAGGAAGGGTCAGTGACGACAGTAGCAAGGAGACGTGTGACAGTAGGACTGGCAGCACGAAGAGAGTCCGACTCCGGGTCGGGAAGAGCAGGAAGAGAAGACTCAGGAGGAGAAGGCAAAGGGGCACGCAGAGGAGCAGTGGACGGACGCAGAGACATCCGGTGCGTGCCAGGGACAGGAGGAGGACGCTGACGCGAACCACGACCACTAGTGCGAGCAAGACGGACAGGTGACGCAGGGCGAGACGCAGGCTCACGACGCTCAGCCAGACCTCCAGTAGGACCAGTGTAGGGAGAAGGAGCGGGCAGTGGGGAGGCCGGCTGTAACTGTAACTGTGACGGGACAGGCTGTGGACACTCTAGGGGAGGAGGAGGACCAGCAGAAGGCGGGAGACCAAGAACCTGCTGAAGGAGCGGAACGAAGTACGGCCGAGGCCGCGCGGCGACTCCAGACACAGCAGGGACAGCACCAGTACCCCCAGCGGCAGCACCAGCGCCAGCAGCACCTCCAGCTCCAGTACCTCCAGCAGCACCAGTAGCACCCCCAGCAGGACCGCCTCCAGGACCGACAGCAGTAGCCTCAGTGCCAACACCCTCAGCAGCTCCAGCTCCAGTCGTGCCCGCAGGCCCAGCAGCTCCAGTACTCCCAGTACGAGCACCTCCGGGACCCGCGGCACCAGCACCCTCAGCAGCCGAAGAACCTCCAGCTCCAGCAGCACGCCTCCAGCGCCGGGCAAACCACTCGCGCAGCTCCTGTGGAGAGAGTGGCTCCCGCCGTGACGAAGCACCCGGAGAACCTCCAGGCGCAGCACCGCCAGACGCCACACGAGCAGGCCCAGCTCCCTCAGGCTCCGCACCCCCAGGCTCAGCACCTCCAGGCGTAGCACCCCCAGACTCAGCACCCCCAGGCGTAGCACCCCCAGGCTCAGCGCCCCCACGCTCAGCACCCCCAGTAGTAGCACCCCAAGGCTCAGCACCCCCAGGCTCAGCACCCCCAGTAGTAGCACCCTCAGGCTCAGCACCCCCAGGCGTAGCACCCACACGCTCAGCACCCCCAGAGTCAGCACCCCCAGGCTCAGCACCCTCAGCAGCACCAGAGTCACCAGTAACCTCGACAGGCTCGACTGCGTCTACCTGGGACACACCTGAAGGGGCAGGACCCTGAGGGGGGAGGGGGTCTACCGGGGGGGGACCTGGCACAAGGAAGAGCGGTGGCGGGGGGAGGGACGGA